GAACATATCATTTTGTGTTTCTGAATTGAAGATGAAATGGGAAATAATAATATTAAAGGAAAATCAAATGTTTCTTGTAATGCAAGTAATGGATCATTTTCAACAACATACTCCTTTTGCTGTCACCCAATTCTTCAGAAGTCTCTGTTTCTGTGGATGAGTGGACTTTTGTTCCTCAGCCTCACCGGAGCACAAGACCTCAAACGCTTTCCGGAACACTGTGAGTCTAATTTATTTTCATTTATGAAATATCTGGAGAGGTTCCAAATCTGTTGATCTTGACATGCTAACAAAGGTGTTTTTGTGTTTGTCTGTGTGTGTAACTGTGTGTCTGCATCTATGCGTGTAGTTGTGGTGGCAAAAAAGAATGATGCAAATCCAGTCACGCTGACCTGCCGTACCAATGTCGAAGGAGATGTCACATGGACATTTCAGCTGGAGGATGTTGACATCGAGGAGAATATCCAGCAGAACGGTCTGAATCTCTCCGTGTCAGCGGTAGATATACCCATGTTGGGAAAATACAGCTGCTGGAGAGGAGAAGAAATGTTATCATCAACCTATCTGCTGCTGGAGTCTGAGGAGCTTGGTAAGATGCTCTGGTTTCATTTTCCATTCTTTTTTATTGTTCATGTACTTTAAATGGCAAGAGTCTCTCAAATAGAGGAACTCATAGTGCACACTTAATTACAAAATAGCCGAATCTTGAAGCTGTCGTCATGTCAGACTAGGTGGTCAAAGACTGAGACTGGAAGTTAAAAATACTGAAACCTACTATGATGCACTTCCAAACACAAGGTCTTACATTTAGTAATATTTTCTCTTCATTTTTGGAAGTGACAAAGTCCAAAAATGTTCCTTTACACTTGTGGTTACTCACGTTGGGTCTCTTTATAGATTATCTCTCTTGTCGGGCAAAGTCTTATGACTGTAACTTCAGCTGTGTCTGGATCGACAAACGACAAACCGCAGTGCGCCTTGGACAAACTGCAGTGCGCCTTGGACTGGGCCGTGAATGGTAAAGGAAATTAAAAAAGTTACAGTAAAAGAGGCCGAACATTTTGCATGAAGTTTATAAAGACAGACCAACAAACAGAATTACTTCTCTCAGGTAGATATTTCACTCTGTGTTTGCCCTGTAGCAGTGAAGGTGGGAAGACGTGTGATTGGGTCAGCAGTGATCAGAAGGATGGGAGATTCCAGTTTGAGCTGAACCACTTGCTCTCACCCTACACTGAGGAAAGCACCCAGCTGGAGGTCACCGTGGAGGCCATCGTTGAACTCTCCGTCCTCAGAAAGACCAAGAGATTTTATCTCAGAGACATCAGTAAGCTGAGAGAAACTAAGATACATATAAGGCATTCTACGAAAGATTTGATAACAAATATACCGAATACAATTCCTGACAAAGTTGTTGACACATTTTGAGATGAGATCATTCAAAGTAATAGTAAATTGGTCTCAAAGGATGAAAACCAAACGTTAAAAGAGTTTGGTTTCAATCAAACATTGATGTACAAACCTTTATCATTATTATCAAAAACTATAAAAGTCATAATAAAAGGCAATAAGTGATAAATGAACTTCTTTCCAAATAAATGTACCACTATCATAAACAGCAAAAAACAGCTGTGACTTGAAATTAAAACATAAGAATTAAAGTTCAAAAGACAAAAAAGACAAATGTAAGCCTTCGATCAAACTGTTAACAGTTTTTCCTTTTTTAAATGAATGTTATTATTTCAGCAAAATATGTATACATTTATATACATACTTTAATGATTCCTTACTGATACGTGTTGACCCATGTTTTCCTTGTTTCTCTAATTTGTGTATGTCATTTTGTCTAGTTGAACCTGACAGTCCCAACATTGTGAGGTGTCAGGAGGGGAAGGAGGACCTGAACGTCACCATCGATGCACCGTCCAGCTGGTCCACTCCGCACAGCTACTTCAGCCTGGAGCACCAAATTGAATACGTTTTAAAAGATGATGGCAAGGTACACATACATCTGGTGATCTTTTCATGTCTGTCATTATTCTCTCTGTTGTTTTTGTTTTTTCTCATTGTGCGACCTGTCTGACTTTAGACTGGACGTTCTTCTTCTGTTCTGATACCGAAGAGGATCAGCAAGCTGAGGGTTCGCTCCAGAGACGCAGTGGTGCTCTCAGCCTGGAGCCAGTGGACTGCCTGGAACAATGTAACCTGTTGACATTATTCCAACACAACACTTTCTGCTCCTGCTCTCTCTTTGTTTCTTACACGTCCACAATGTCCTTGTGTCCTCTAACCTACTGTTTTTCACTATGTGTTTCTGGCTGTCTCCCTTTGGGGCAATTACACACACTGATAGCTAAAAGATAACACAGCACTCACCAGAAGCGCAGTAATACGTCCCTACGTTTTAAGACAGAAGATCACTAAACACTGTTATTATTTATTTTTATTTATGACTGTACTCAAACTAATAATTTGTATATTAATATTTATTCTAAATATTTTACAACTATATATATGTATTTATAAACACACAGAATTAAAGCAGTATGACATATTATTTGCAAGCAAAACATGACTGAATGGTTTCGTGGGACCACATCTTGAGACCACATAAAGTTGGTCTCAACAGTTTTGTCCATTTTAAGATCCTTGTTGAAATGACAATCAAAAGTAATTTACATATGACATCATTCAACATGAATCATAACTTGAGGAGTCAGTCCAGTTGCACTCTATACAGTCTTTCTCAAAGTTTGTTCCTTGGCCCTGTGTATTTCTGTATAAGTGTGTTGGCGTTTCTGTGTATCTTGGTGGTTTGCGACTGTGCTATTAAAAGAGCTTTGTGCTTCCTTCCTCATGTATGTTACTTCTTCATTTATGTGTTGCATGCTCATGTCATGTGTACAAATGCAAAAAGTGCAGTACCAGTCCACATGTGTGTACTTTATGTACACACATGTGGACTACTTTCGTCTGGACAAAGTATCAGAAATATCCATCAGTGAATATGTCTAGTGTATGCTCCTAATCATAGTTACTAATCACTTTTATATTATATCTACAGTACAATACTCTGGTAACAATTATAATGGATTTCTTATGTTATCATCATCACTAGTGCCTGATTTGAAAACACAAATTAGTTTAGTGGTAAAGAAGTTACACTTTTTTTAAACTATACCATATTTGTAGTATTCAACTGTTTCTTAGTTGGTAAAAAAACAAGCTATATATTTGAGCAATTAATATGTTTTTTTAAATTAGAAATTGAAATGTTAAATAGGTTCAAGAAGAATTCTGTGGTTGTAAGGGATATTTGTAATGTTTTCCCATAGCTATATTATCATTCAACAGGGATTTGTTTGTGCAAACAAAACAGACCCTATAGGCACTAACAAGCACTAGAAAACAGCAAAAGTACGCAAAGGTGTATCAAAGCTGCATCTGCTAGCTAGATTTGATATACATGACAACTTATTTGAAACCTAGCAAAGATTATGGTTTCAAATTTCTGATTTTAATGATTCATCCTGTAGTTCAACATTGTCAGGAGGAACATTTTGCCAGATTTTATTTACTTAAATCGGAGCACATGCCGAGAGCCCAACATAAAATGTTGTTGTCCCAAAGCTAAAAAGTAAAATAAATATACTTGCTGACAGCTCAATAAAGGTCAAAAACATATTTCCCGGTGAGCAAACATAGACATACCTGCAGAGCATAATTGGCTTGAAGCTTTAGCAGTAAATGACAACGTTATGCAGACAAATAACATGCTCCAGTGGGAAAGTAATGCAGATCATTACAAATGCCCAAAGAGCAACTCTTAAAACATTTTAATGGGAGCATTTTTAATATATATAGCCAGAACTTGCAGACACATTTGATTAATGTAAGATTTGTTGCTTTTTATTCTCCTGTAATCAGAACCTAATCTGTTATTAACTCATTACAGGTGATTACAGGGAAAAATAAACCCTGCAAATGCAAAAACAAAGCAAAGACATGCTGCCCAGAGTTGCCATCTGAGTACTTGGAAAACTGCAAGAACAGAAAAGGAAGAAAAAAAGGGGGAAAAAGTGTTAAGAAGACTTTAAAATACAATGCTTAATAAATAACATCCATTGCAACTGGGACCATGCTGGTGTACAAACACCTTTGTTTGGAAATAACGTAAATGTGGATGTATATTTGTATACATGTTTTTAGGGATAATGCAAACACATCTAGCCGTGCAATACATCTATACCTTCACTGGGGAACAATTAGTATCATATGTTTTTTCAATCTTGCATTCCATTTGTATGAAAACCTAACAAGTGAATAAAAACGCAAACCATTCTTACCAATTCTGAGATTTCCAAAATCTTTTGAAAAGCAAATCTGGGTAAATGGTAATATGATTATTACATTTTTGTCTATTGGAATATGACACAACAAGTGCTTGAAAGTTTATCTATGTTATACAAATAAAAAAACATACTTTTCAATTAAAATTGTGTTCTGTAATTGGCCGAGATTTGAGTCTTTCACTGTCAATATGAATTAATTTTACTTTTTAGTTCTCTTTTACTTTTGAGAAGTTACTATTTTATTATGGTTTATTTTCTTCTCTTTTTCATTTCCCATTATTTGCAATGCTTTGATAACATGCTGATGTGACGAAAACATTTCCCAAATTGGGATCAATAAAGTCAATCTAATCTAATCTAAATAATCTATATTGTAAAAATATATAATGTTTTTCCATGAGCGGGTTCACATTATGTTATCTATCTTGTAAGGTGTCCTTGGCTGGAAGTAAAGTAAATATTCTGCTCTAGAATATAAATATGTTGGATACACAGTGCACAGAGAGTTGTAAATAAAACAATTTAGGAGGAGGGGTGGGGGGTCAGCTAAAGGGGCCAAACAGTTTGGTTTTGCCCCGCGACCACCTAGCAGGTTGATCCGCCTTTGCGATGTACGCATGCGCATTAAAAAAGCGCGGAAGTGGTTCCTTTAACCTGCTGGTCTGTTGTTCATTCACAGAACGACAGCTAGCATACAGTATGGACAAACACCGATCTCAATTATAAAGCTGCTACACGTCTGTTTTATTTAACGTTAACTATCTCTACAAATGCCTTGAACATGGCAAAGGTTGTTTGGACGACGGCTTTCCTTTTATACCTCTGGAGTGTTTTCATACAGTTCAATAGCATTTCAGGTAAGTAAGGGGCGGGGGGAGCATGTAATGCTAGTAAACCGCTAATTTAGCTAACGTCTCGGTGTAACTGTCATGTTAGCTCGAGGGTTTCAGAAGTTTTGTAAGGCTTTCGTCTGTACTTCTGTATTTTCTCAGTGAATTATCATCTTATATGTGCCTGCTTCTGCAACTCTTACCTCGTAATGTTACTGGTGATGCAGTTATGGCAGTGTATAATAGATATTGGACAGACATTGACTCTATGGTGGCGTCTTCTTTCTCATAGGACGGTTAGCTCACATCTTAGCCATACAGTATGATCTTAGCACTTGCTCTTAACCACAGGTTTTCAATTTAGGACCAAAACCAGAGCTGGGAGAAGTACTCAGATATTGTACTTAAGTAGAAGTACCAGAGTGTAGGACTACTCTGTTACAAGTATTAGGCCTGCATTCAAAATTGTACTCTAGTAAAAATCCAAAAGTAAGTAGTAATTATTATGCAAATTGGACCGTTTCAGAATAATATATATTATATCATTTGATTATAATTATTGAAACATTCAAGTGTTTATCAAAGCTGATAAAGGTGCAGATAGTTTGAATGACTTCGTATACCGCAGGGTAGATTGTGAATTTACTCCAGGTTTAAATGGAGTCCTTTTTAAGTTAGTACAACGTAGCATAAAATACTCAAGTAAAGTACAAGTATCTCAAAATGGTACTTGAATACATGTACTTAGTTACTTCACACCTCTTCACAAAACCAAAAACTTGGCCATATTAAAAAAAACACCAATGGATTTGCATGTTGAATATCCAACCTAAAAATAATGTCACTGCGTGTTGTTTAATGTTGGTCCTGTTACATTTCCTTTTTTGTACCCTAGGTCTTGGGATCAATGAACTGCTTTATTTCCGGGTCATCAGTCCAGAGGAGATAGGGTACATCTTCAGTGCAGCACCTGCTAAAGACTTTGGAGGAGATTTTGTGAGTTGTTGTTTGTATATAATTTCACATGTTGGTCAAAGGGTTGTCAAGCCTCAGACGCATGTGTTCACCAATCACTTACCATCACATTCCTTTTCTCTCATTTTGTCCCTAGACATATTCATATGATAAGATTTTCCTGGTGCCAGCAGACCCAGCAGACGGCTGTTCAGAGCTGGAGGACGGAGAAATCATACAGGGACAAGTAGTCCTGGTGGAGAGAGGGTACGTGCACATTCATCAGCAACAATAGCTTCACTTGTATAAGCCATTGAGTCTGGAACACTTGGGATATGTGGTAAACTGGAATTGTAAGTTTGCATCAATCCTTTTAATCATAATTATAATACAATTAATCTATAAGGCACTTTTCTAAATACTCAAGACGCTTGTACAGAGAAAAACAAAAGGGCATCATTTCATCATTACCCCTGAGCAATAAGCAGGTAAAACTTGCAGGGTCAAAGTGGTTGACTTGTGGGAAAGAATTCAAGACATGGCCTGAAATGAAAAGGGGTTGAGTGGATGGCCAAGCAGTTGTTATAAGTTTAGATGTGGTGTTGTTCTTGACTGTCCTATCACAGCCTTGTGAGGACAGTTTTGCATTAAGAAGACATGCTTTTTTTCAAGCCATTATACTTATTTCACACATTTGACGTATAATCAGGGCTGTACATAACTGGTGCGCATGCGCACCTCGGCCAAAAAAAGAGCACCAGGTCATTTGAAAAAAGGCGCATTTGCGTACCAACATTGAGGGAGGGAGAGAGAAGGGAAAAGAGAGAAGAGAGGAGAGAGAAGAGAGAGAGAAAGATATTTGCGAGTTGCATATGAACTCAGGGCCGGCCCGTCACACTGGCGTTGATTTTCGCCTAGGGCGCCAGATCTGGGGAGGCGCTGCACTGGCAGCTCTGGGAGGGAAAAAAACATTTTTGACCGTTGGCGCTCATCCTAATTTTCAGCCTTGATGTAACAACATTCATAATTAAGTAAATGTAACACCCTTTTCACCCCGGTTACACGTTTCATTTACCCTGTACCATGGGCGCTGTAAGTGATGAAAATGGGGGATGTTGGCTTATCTGGCGCCCGCAGCTCACAGCCAAAGTGCGAGTGAGCGAGGGAGGGTGGGCCGGTACCGGCGCTGTTGTTATTAGAATCTGGTGCTAGCTGCGGAGATAAGAAGAAGATGTTTCTACAATAATGTGGAGGGAGAGTCCTCTCCAGTCAGACTGAGAGGCTGATAACTACAGCTCAGTGAGGTAAGTACTCTGAGTGTTTAGATAGTTAACTTTAGTCTAAGTTCAAACGGTTTGGTCACAATTTATGTAAACACATATTTCCAAGGCACTCCTTTATAATTATTGGGATAAACAGGTTTGAAATCATTCCAATGTATACTATAGGACGGTAACTACAAATATCCTTTAAAACTGGACTTTCGACCCAAAACCAGCTGTTGACTTGTGGATGCAAGCAGCTAATCGCAGACTCAACCAGAGAGAAAGAAGTAGGCCTACATCATCAGCTACCATGTCTGACAGAGAGGAAGACAGTGAGGAGAACAGTCAGAAGGGAAGTGATGACAGCTTGTAGGATTACTGGTCGTGCTAATGTTGTCTTGTGTTCACCTCTGCATGTGTGTTCTGTGTTCACCTCTGCATGTGTGTTCTGTGTTCACCTCTGCATGTGTGTTCTGTGTTCGCCTCTGCATGTGTGTTCCGTGTTCACCTCTATGTGTTCTGTGCCGTGTGTCTGACAAATAAAGACCGGTTTATTTATTTCATTTTAAGGATGAGTACCAAGCAACATCTCCAGGTGCTCCTTTGAGAACCAGGGCAAAAAAGTTATGTGCACCCCTGCATATAATATTAATTTCAATAGTGCTCGTCTGGCTCATACAGCAGAATATAACCTTCGGGCTTCTACATCTTTGTCCCCGTAGTGCAGGCGCATAAGTGTCTTTGTCTGGCCTCGTCAGCCACCAGTCTGCATTCCTAACATGCACAAAAATATATTTATATGGTTGTGCAATAACATTTGTATTCTTTAAGCAGACATAACACACTTAAACAATGTTTAATTTGTAGAAACACAGATAATAATTATATTAATGACTAGTTCCTTATAATGTCAGCAGAGGGGTTCAGAGCCAGATTCATGTTAAGCAAATTCAACGTGTTCAAATAACTGGCAAATAAAAAGACTGTTACTTGATTATGGATTCAAATACTTTTGATATGAACCTGTTTGGTTGCTCATGACATTTTAAATGTGTGTTGGACCTAGGTTTTTACATACATGTTTTTGAAAAAGTTGCATATGGGGAAACGGCTGTGTCTCAAACAAACAATATTAACTGAAAAACCATGACATTTAAGGGTTGCTAGATCTTTTAGACCTTACTGCATATCCCCATTTCCACACTGAGTTATTTACGAATTGGATGCTGCTTGGGGACCACAGAAACATGATTTGTGTGTTAAGATAATTAGCAGACACATCTATTTGTAAGTGTTGACCCTAGATAACAACCTGTCCTTCACTGCAAACATCGCTGCTACAACCCGTTGCTGCAGATACACGCTTTACAACATCAGGAAGATACGTCCCCAGCTGACACAGAAAGCGACTCAGGTTCTGGTCCAGGCTCTCGTCATCTCACGCCTGGACTACTGCAACTCCCTCCTGGCTGGTCTACCTGCATGTGCCATCCGACCTCTGCAGCTCATCCAGAATGCAGCAGCTCGTCTGGTCTTCAACCTTCCTAAATTTTCCACTCCGCTCCTCCGCTCCCTTCACTGGCTTCCGGTAACTGCTAGAATCCACTTCAAGACACTGGTACTTGCTTACCATGCTGCGAATGGATCTGGCCCTTCGTACATCCAGGACATGGTTAAACCGTACACCCCAGCGCGTGCACTACGCTCTGCATCAGCCAAACGACTCGCTGCACCCTCGCTGCGAGGGGGACCCAAGTTCCCATCAGCAAAAACACGTGGGTTTGCTGTCCTGGCTCCAAGATGGTGGAATGAGCTCCCCATTGACATCAGGACGGCAGATAGCTTACACACCTTCCGGCGCAAACTGAAAACTCATCTCTTTCGACTCCACTTCGAGCGATAGAACTATTAACGAAGCACTTATATACTAATAAAGGACTGGCTTACCTAAAGCCAGTTGAGTAGCACTTGAAATGTTTGGCTCTATGAAACCTGATGTACTTATATGATTCTGTTTTCTTCAAGGTTGTGTCTTCCTGGTCGAATGTACTTATTGTAAGTCGCTTTAGATAAAAGCGTCAACTAAATGCAATGTAATGTAATGTAATGTTAGGGCAGTGTCTAATTGCTATGGGCAACCAGCTGCCCTGATGGGACTATGAAGTTTTGAATAAATATGTCACCAAACATCATTTTACAGGATGTGTTGGCGGGAACATTTTCAAATAGTTGCTCACATTTCTTTGTCTGTTCTTATGTGCTCTCCAGAGGTTGCTCCTTTGTGCAAAAGGCCCGACATGTGGAGGAAGCAGGAGGCAAAGCAGTTCTGATTGCTGATAATGCGGTGGACAATGACAGTCAGTACCTGGACATGATCACTGATGGAAGCACGGCTAAACCCAGCATACCTGCTCTATTCCTGCTGGGGCGTGATGGGTGAGACACATTTAGGAATCAGACTTAAGAATTGTACTTAAAGCTCCAAGCTATTTTATGTGTAGATCAAACCGAGATCTTTGCCAGGTATTATTAGAGTTATTCTGGATGTACATATCCTACAACCTGTCCATCTAAGAAAGATGCAGACACACAAACATTTATTTACTCTTATTTTGCTCTAATTTGAGTTTATTAATAAAGCAATCTGTTATCATTAATGCACATTTCCGGACATCAAACATGTTTCATCTTTCACATTTATTTCAGAATGATGATCAGACGATCTCTTCAGAGACATGCAATGCCGTGGGCTGTCATTTCCATTCCTGTCAATGTTTCCTCTCTGGCTTCGTTTCCACTCAAGCAGCCCCCATGGACACTGTGGTAGAACATGACGCACAACTTCATGCCCTCCCCCACCCAATAAACATTTGGTGCGTATCCTATCAGTTGTGAATCAACTCGCAGTTGCACAGGGAAATAATTTGATGGTTGTTAAACAAAACCACACACACTAGGTGAACCTGTTTAAATGACCGTATTTATACATCTCACACTCAAACACACAGCCAAAGTCAACAACAAGCAGGCCTCACGGCATGTGGAACTTTACTACACGATGCAAAACCAGGAATGTCATCTTACTGCAAACATTTCAAATAAATTCCTGCTTATTTGCATGAACTTAAACTGTGTTATACAAAATGTATCTTTTGCTGCCTCATATCATGTATTGTCTTTCTGAAGTAAAAATCTATACAACTTTATAAAACAAACACATTTTCTGTCCTTACATCCCTGAAGCACTCTGACTACTAAAAGCTTACCTTTGTACCTCGACTGACGTTTGTATTACTCCTGATGCAGAAAGGAGCTATTTGTATTCAAAGGTTTTACACTATATTGTTTTTGGTATATACAAAGTAAAGATAGAAAACGTGAGGTAGGACAAATTAACTTTTGTGAAAATGATGACTGATCAGTATGAATTTTTGCAATTTTTAAAAATAAATGTAAAGATATGTTTGTCCCCGAAGAGATTCATCTTTAGGCCAGTGTTTTTAACGCCCAACGAAGCACAGTATTCGTCACTTTGTCTTACTTGGACTACATTTTCCATCTTAAATAGCGTCTCGCTGCAGAGCTCCAGGCCACCTCTTCCCGTCTTGTGTCATGTTTTAGGATGGAAAAGAATCGCTCTTCCTTATCAATCAATAACATTTACATGCTGCTGTATTATATTTCACTGTATACTCTTTCATAGCCCTTATCAGTATTAAAATAGCTTGTGTAAATTGAGTACATTGTATACGGTACTTAAACCTCAAATATAATTGTATTAAGTTATTAAACCAATTTACAGTAGTTTTGTGCCAATAGTTTACAGATTAAAGAATTTTAACATTAAACCCACTGGATTTACAATGTATTAGATTTGCAACTATGTTCTTTATTATCAGTAAATATCATTGCTCTTATTGCACCTCCAGTCTTCCTGCTTGTGTTCAGACACATTTAAATGTCTTATTTAGTTTTGCTGTAGTGTGCTTTAATTTGCCTTTTTTAAAGGTAGCATTTTTTAGAGGATAAATGTTTTCATTTAGGTTTTATTTTTCAGTTGTATATTAAAAAAAATACGAGAAAAATATTGTATTTATTTTTGCTTTTTTTGATTAGGTATTTTCAGTTTGAACTCATATCAGAGAAGTGTATTAGGGTATGTACATGTGTCTTTCACCTAGCGTTTAAGCTGTATACATGATCTATCATTTAAAATTGTATTATATCTTTAAGTCTTGTTGATCATTTATGTTTTGTTAAAAAGGGGCATACAGCAAATTATGAATTTAAATACATCTAGAAGATATCAATTATTAAAGATGTACATTTGATTTGGTTTAACATTTTAAATAGTGGCATATTAATCTTTCACTTTCTTATTAAATGGTAAACATAGATCTATGACCACCTCAACTTCAGTAGAGAAAAAGACCGTATCCAAATATTCCCAACACGGGTTAATCCCGTTTATCAACCTGCCTCCGCACACTGTTAATAACTACTCAACGCATGTTTAGTTAATGTGATCAGAGCCAACACTACAACCAGCCAAACCATAATGCACAATATACGTGCCAAACAAGCCACTACAAAGATTATATTGAAAGACGTGTGCGCCCACACCTTTAAAAAAAAAATGCTGATCAGCACCACCCAGCATGGACAACGACACTGCAGATAGACAAGGTACAACACTTCACATCTCACTCCGCGACACTATTCTATTATTTAATAGGAGTAACGTAACAGTTTGTCCGTCAAATCGCTGTCAATGAATCAACAGCTAATTCAGATGAAACATTGAGATTACCTATAAGGCACAATGATAGAAACATTTCAGAAAACTGTTTTGCATTTAAACTTTGCATGGCTGTGTGGTTCAAAATCAATGAGAGGGAGAGAGATGGAGAAAGTGTCACAGTTGATTAGAATAGGGGAATCCTCGGGCTCCTGTTACTCCCATGTGTTTTTGGTATCTCCCTTCCCGTGAATGGAGCCGACTCTGAAAAAGGAGTTAAAGGCAGTTAGAAGAGCAACAGATAAAAATATCACATGTATACATTTGTTGAACATGTAGGCCTATGCATTTGCCCCCAGTGTTACCTCCTTTTGCATCTCGGGCACACTCTGCCCCACACGTTCGTCACCATGGCTTCCCTCAGTGCCGGGCTACCCCAGATGTACACGGACGGAGTGCACACTGCGTTGAAACGAGCCATGATGGCGAACAGGTTAGTGGCCTCGTTCCTAAACGTCAGCCCCCCTACTCCTATAAATCTGATGATTATATTAACAAAAGAGGGGCACCACAACACCAAGAAGGTTATGACAACAAAGATGATGATTCGTAATGATTCCTTCTTGCTCTCTTTTTCCGCGCTGGGAGGGTCTCTGGCGAGCTGGACTCTGGCAACCACATACAGTTTGATAGTCATGGCCACTTTGGTGACCAAGATCAGCTGAAAGAGTACTATGCTGATTACGTACATCTGCATTGCTTTGGAAGATGGCAGCAAATTCCTGGCCAACAAGTGAGCCGAATTGTAAACCCAGCAGTAGATGTTAATGCCTATCACAAACTGTCTTGTAACAAAGCGACCATAGATGAATGGGTGGCACACAGCAAAATAGCGGTCAAACTGTGCGAACAAAAACGTCAGAATATTGACCCCTAGAAGTGAGGGTAAAATATTACAAGTTCCATTCCTAGGCGGGTATAACTCCTGAACATCAAACAGACCGAGATAATACACGGAGACCCCAACAAGCGTGTCACAAATACTGGTGTTCAGCATGAAAATAAACCTGTTCTGGAGGCGGAGCGCCGAGGTGGCCAATATGGTGATGACTACAGATCCGGCTACCAGAACAGTTACCGTTGCAAATACGATCTGAAAAATAAAGATGACATAGTCCTGAGGACTTTTGAAGTCCACCGATAGAGGAACTCCTCCTGAGATAGAGTCTGTGATGTTGGCGGGGACCATCTTTATGCGCAAATGTTTCTGAAGGCTAGCCTTTTTATGCAAGAGTTACAACGCGAAGTCAGCAACTCTCTTGTGACACTGTAATGTCTTCTTTATAAAAAAAATACCAATCAGAGAATGTATTTTAACTTTGAAGCTTTTTCACATGCAGCTATGCTATATGCTTTTAATCGACATGTTGTGATGTAATTGATACGTCTTCATCTTTCATCCTTATTTAATTTATATAATCCTTTAAACAGCCTTTTCACCAAAGTGCTTCACGATATTAACATACGTGTGCATCTGAAAATACAAACATAGGCTATTACAATAAAAATAAGTTTAAACACGAAACCAGAAGGAAAAAAACACGCTAGAGAATACAATTCAGATTTGAAGTTATTTTTTAATAAAGACAACACAGTATAATACTAACAGTAAGGTATTCATAAGTTCTCTAACTTCCTTTCTCCCAAACTTTGATTTAAATTCACTTTGACGCTTATATATGTTATTAGATCCACAATGAGCTCGTGTCAATCGGCCTGGCATCGGTCACAGCACGAGGCACATAATGCATTCAACCCTTCTGATTAAGGTACATGGTTATGGGTCCGTGTACTTTTTGTCAGTTTGATTTTTCGTTTTAAACAAAAGCCAAAAAACGGAAATACCAGCCTTTTTCCGTTTTTTCGTTTTTTATTTAAAACGAAAAAACGGGAAACCAAAGCCGTTTTTACGTTGTTGTTGTCTGAATAAAAAGACCGATAAAACCTAATTTAAAAAAAGGTAAGTGTACGTTTTGTTAGTTTGATTTTTCGTTTGAACCAAAAAATGAGAAAAATGAAAATACCAGCCTTTTTTCGTTTTAAATCAAAAACGAAAAAACGTGAAACCAACGCCGTTTTCCTGTTTATGTTGTCTGAATCAAAAACGGATAACAAGATAAAAACGGTCTGATTTTGGTTTTTGATAACAACTTCATTCAATGTTCCGTTTTGTATTGAAGAATGAAGAAAAGCAGTCCGCTTGACCGGAAGTTAAAGAACATATTTCAAAATAAAAGACACGAGGCTATAATGGCAATGCTGTAAAAGACCCATAACCATAAGTCTGACGACCCTTGGCCCCCCTGCTTCCGGCACCCATGCTGACGAGGATACGTTTATTTCTGCATTCACATGCAGATATGCGTTTATAGAGATTAATACAAGTATGCAAGCTCTGTGCATAATTGTATTCCTTGACTTCCGGTTTGTACTGTGTTGGCAAATCCAGTGTCCAGCTTGTCGCTGTGTGACAACGTCATGTTTGTTGCATAACTGCAAGATTTACCTGTGACAAATATCAGCGATGTGAACAGAACTGTCGCCCTACTTTCACCTGCACCCAGCAGCAAGTGGGAGAACAATATATCATACAGTTCACACAGTAATGGAACAGTTGTTAAGCATTATTTTGTCCAACTAGTCTCTACATTATGAATTTGATGTGTGTCTAAACTGCTAAGAAGCTGACAGCTGAGTTAGAACAGAAAGACATGCAGGCCATAATCACTAGACGCTCAAAAGAGGAATGTGTGTGTAAGGCTTACATGAACTGAATTGAAACACTGTCCATTAGTTGATTAATAAACAAGACATTCAAGTCAAAGTTTTAGGCATTTTCATTTGTAGCACGCTGTAAATATGGACTATGAATGAACACATGCAATGTGGAAACACACAAATAGGTTTATTCTCAATACTCATAACAGTATCAGACACAATGACTTTACTGAGAGTGAAGATGACATGAACATAGTTACTGTATGGTACTGAAGACAACATACAGTATATTGCATTTACCTCTTCCTCTAACTCTCTCTCCAATATTGGCCTCCATTGTTGTGCACAACAAAGTGTTCAAGCTCAGGTTTCTAAGTGATATCATTTTTTTTTTGTGCATTCTGGGTGCAGGGTTAGTAGGGCTAACCCATATCTGTTCAATCAACCCAGTCTCACGGCATTTCGTGTTCACCAACACGATTTGTAATCTATTGATTCGTGTTCACCAACACGATTTGCCCCTTTTTGTTCGTGTTGCACAGCACGATTTTAAAAGCAATGTATTATTTTTCTACTGCCTGCAGCACGTCATTAGGCTTGTTTGAGACAAGCGAGACCTGCGCAGACCTGCGCAGTTGCGATCAACGTCTTGCTAGTGCGTTGCATGATGGTTAGTCATTTTGTCCGACTTGCTCTGGAGGCCCGCCTACATGAGACGTTGAAATCTCGCGGGACAAAGACGCCCGCAGCCTTGAGAGCGAGGCGCGGCGAGGCGACGCAGTTCCTCTCCACGGGCTGCGGAAGCGAAATGCTTGATGGGAAACGACTCGCTGGTATCTCGAGCTGAGCGCTCATTGGTGGTTTTTACCACGTGCTGCTGATGAAACTCTCCAATTGGCTCGGCAAAAGTTTGTTGTTGTTTTGTGTCTGTTTTACGTCGCCACATCCATTCCCAT